AGGTTTTTTGGGCAGTGAGCGCAGCCGAGGTGTTACAGTAGGAATTAGTAGTTCATATAGTCCGGCCCTCCAGCTCTCTGAGGGACCGTGATCTGGCCCCCACTTTAAAAAGTTTGAGGACCCCTGGGGAGTGTCAATGGAGGAGGACAGAGGAGGTGTTCCTAAACCAAAGAGGCTGCAAAGGGGGCAAGAGGATGGACGTGTCAAAGCCAAGGAAACGAGAAGTTCCAAGAGTGTGGTCCTTCCTCAAAGTCATGCTGAGAAAAGATGAGGTCGGGTAGCTGAAAACTGGTTGTTATTGGGTTTGACAATTGAAGTTTTCCCGTGGCAGTGAGCTCAGGGGTCTGGATTGGGAGACGTCAGGTTGGTGTTTGCAGGGGTGGTTCAGGAATGTTCCAGGTAGATTAGGGGGTGAGAAAGTGTCCCAAGCTCAGACGGGAGCTTGGAGGCGTGGTGGCCCCAAGAAACCCTGCAGCAGCACAGGGCTGGCTAGTTTTGTGATGGAACTCACGACCAAAGCCACAAGCTGAAGTAAATAATATATGTGGTTTTGTTATCTACTGTTTTATTTTCTTTGTGAGATGCTGTTAGCCAAGTTTAATAGGTTTTTCTAATTAAGTACTTCATATTTTTCCAACATTGGGAAAACCTCAACCATACAGCAATGTTGAAAAGTCTTATGTATCGATAGCAAACATCCATCTGTTAACTACCTTTCTACAATTAACATATTGCTCTATTTGTCTTATCTACTCATCTTTCCACTCATTTTTTGATGCACTTCACTTTAAGTTTAAGATGTAAGTACACTTTACCAGTGTGCATATCATTAACTAGAATTCAATTATTTGCTTAGAATTCAATTATGTGTGTGTCAGATTTAAAAAAAAATCACACAACTTGAGTGAAATATTCCCCCGAGTTGTGACAAATTCATACATCTGTGTAAGCCCGACTTGGCTGGAATATCACCATCAACTCAAAGTCCCATTTCCCTTCTGGACAGTTTCCACTTCTCCCCTCTCCCACACAGCCAACCCTTGTTCTGATTTTTTTCACTATAGGTTAGTTTTGCCTATTCTAGAACTTCATATATGTGGAATCTTGTGGCCTGTACTTTTTCATATCTGGCTCCTCTCTCAGTAAAATGTTTTTGAGATAACTGGTAATTTCTTTCTTTTGCTGAGTATTATTCCATTGTTTGATTGCACTACAGTTTTAATCTATATTTCTACTGTTAGCTGCACTGTTTTTGGCAACAATGAAGAGCACTGCTATGAATAGTCTAATACAGGTCTTTCAGGGGGCATGTGCTTTCATTTCTTTTGGGTAAATATCAGGAGTGGAATGGCTGGATCAAAGAACAGAGGGCTTAATTTTATAAGAAACTTCAGGCCTCTTCCAAAGCTTTTCCATCTTACACTTCCACCAGAAGGTTGCTTCACGTCCTCTCCAACATGTGGTGTTGTCACTTCCCTCTTAGTCATGCCGGGCGGTAATAACCCACTTCTGTGACAGATGATGTTGAATACTTGATCACGTGCTCATTGGCCATTCATATATTTTCCTTTGTAAGGTCATCTGCTTGTCTTTTCATTATTGAGTTGTAAGAGCTTTTAGTACAGTGAGTTCTAACAACATTGTTGATAGGTTCTTGGAAATTCCACACTATTTTACCATAGACTGACTTACGTAAGTAACAGCTAGGTTCCTAAGGTACACGTCTGTGCATAGTTAACCTGAGGTAAAACTGGTCAGCGTAGCAGTTTTCAGGAAGCTATCAACGACAGAGGATTCTGGATATCAGCTCTTTCACAGACACGTGTTGTACGTTATCCTGGATGGCAGCTTGTTTTTTGGAGTTCCATCCTTCAATATTTTTCCTCTTATGGTTAGTGTATCAAACTCCTCTCTAAGAAACTTTTGCCTACCCCCAAGCTGTGAAAATATTTTCCTATGCTTTATTCTAGAAGCATAGTAGTTTAGCTTTTATGTAATGGCCAGACCCATGTCTAATTCCCCCCCATCCTCCACCCCCCGTAGAGATATCAAGCTGTTATATATAGCATTGTCTATTGAAAATACTTTCTCCTATTACGCTGCTTTGGTGCCTTCATAAAATATCAAACTACTTCATATTTACATTTATTTTACTGTTCACACAAACTGTTCTTATTCATACATTCTCTTAACATCCCCTCAGAGATCACTGGGGTGGAATATGTTTTCAGTTGAGAAAACCAAGACCCAGAACGGCTCAGGAGCTTGTCCAAGGGGACACAAAGCCAAGGCCTTGAACACAGAACGACTGCTGGATCATAAAAGATGTTAACATTTTAAACCTATTTTATCCAGTGGAAATATTATTAAGTGAACATCATTTTATTTCAACACTGGCAGCTTTTTAGACCAGCAGCCAAACACATGCCTCCCTTGCAGGCTTGTGTATGTCCAAAACAATCTTTATATTATGCACCTCTGGTTTGAAAGAGTGAAAATTACAATGCTTGCTCCCCCAAATGGGGTAAGAGGAATAGCTTCTAGCCAAGCTTGTTTGGACTTCTAAAAACATTGACTATTTGAAAAGTCTAGTTGGTGAGTGGTACTTGTTCATTAGTTTTGGGGTAAGGTATTTTCTCTTAAAAAAAAAAAAAAGTAGGAAAAGGATTATCAGTGTCCCTCCTAGTTATCTAAGAGAAGTACATTCTGTAGTAAGTAGTTTTAATATGATTAAGATACCCTCACACTTGAACTAGTTTTTATTTTTTTTAATCCTCACCCAAGGATATTTTCCCATTGATTTTTATAGAGAGAGAAAGACAGAAATATCGATGTGAGAGAAACACATTGATTGGTTGCCTCCTGCCTGAGCCCTGACCAGGGCCTGGGCCAGGGAGGAGCCTGCAACCCAGGTGCATGCTCTTGATGGGAATCAAACCCCAGACCCTTTGGTCCCCAGGCCGACACTCTATCCACTGAGTCAAACCAGCTAAGGCTTGAACTCATTTTTTCATGAGACAAAGTGAGGGGCCTCACACTTCCTGATTTCAACCCTGGTCAAAGCTACAGTAACCAGGATGGTCTGGACTGGCCTAAAGCAGCCATGCAGATCAGTGGCATAGAACCAAGAGTCCAGAAGCAAAAGCTTACATTTATGGGGAATTCATTTTTGACAATGGTGGAGGAAATAATCTTTACAATAGAGTTCAGGGACAACTGAACATTCCTGTGCAAGATACTCAGTTTACATACATACAAAGTAAACTAAAATGGACCAAAGACTTAAATGTAAGAGCAAAAATGCTTAGAAGACAACATGGGATTTTTTTGGTGACGTTGATAAGGCAATGATTTCTTAGATATGAAACCATAAGCCCAGTTGACAAAAAAATAAATTGAACTTCAAACAAATCAAAACATTTGTGCTTCAAGGGATATTATCAAGAGAGTAAAAACACAATCCACAGAATGGGAACAAATATTTGGAAATCATCTATAATAATAAAAGCATAATATGCAAATTGACCTAATGGCCAAACAGCAGGACTGTCCTGACGAAGCTGGGGCTGTGAAGGCCGAGGCAGCTGGGGCTGCAAAGGCCTACTCTTGCATGAATTTCCTGCACAGAGCCTCTAGTGTATCTAATAAAAGACATATCTACAATATGTAAAGGGTGTTCACAACTCAATAATAAAAGGACAAGTCACACAATTAAAAAATGGGCAAGGGATCTGAATAGAGATTTCTCCAAAGGAAAAAAATAAACGGTCAAAAAACACATGGAAAGATGCTCTATGCCATTAGTCGTTAGGGAAATGCAAATCAAAAACACGAGATAGATATCACTCCATACTCACTAAGATGGCTATAGTCAAACAGGCACTATCAAGATGGAAAGAAATTGGAACCCTCAAACCTTGCTGTGAAAATGGAAAGAAGTTTTGACAGTTTCTAAAAAATTTAAACATAAGGTTATCATGTGACCCAGCAACTCTATTCTTAGGTATATACCCCCCAAACTGAAAAACATTTGTTTGTGAATGATCATAGTAGCAGTATTCATAACAGGCAAAAAGTGTTAACCCAAATTTCCATCAAGTGATGAATGAATAAACAAAATGTGGTATATCCATACAATGGAATATTATTAGGCAAAAAGAAAAAATGAAATGAAATACTGACATATGCTACAAAGTGGATAAACTTTAAAAACATGCTAAGCGAAAGAAGCCAGACACAAAAGCACACGCATTATATGACTCCACTTTTATGAATTTCCAAAACGGGCAAATCGACACAGGCAGATAATAGACTAGTATTTGCCAGGGAGTGGGAATGGGGTGAATTGGGATGTACAGGGTTTCCTTCTTGGGGTGATGAAAATGTTCTTCATTTAGACAGTGATGGCTGCACAGTTTTGTGAATATACTAAAACCACAGATATGTAGCCTTTAAAATGGAAAATTTTATGGTACATGAATTATCTCAATAATACTCCAAAAGGACAAGCCAGCATAGGAGGCCTTAAAGTTTACCTAAACATAAAACAAAAACTTGAACCCTGTTCTATGATTTAATTCAGTTTTATAAATATTATATTTTTCTTCAACAACAATCATTAATATAAAAATAGTAAGTAGTTATTAAACACTTATTAGGCATTGTACCAAGCAGTTTATACTTGGTTTTCTCTCTCAAATCACCTCAGTAACCTTATACATTGATGCTATTATTCCATTTTACAGAAAAGAAATCGAAGCTCAAAGACGCTGAGTAATTTTCCCAAGATCATGGAAAGGTAAGTCTGACTCCTGAGATTCTATTGTACCAGTCCATCTCCCTTAAAACAGTGATGTTTTTGTCTCCAACATTATTATTTTTCAATGTGTTATCTATATATTGTTCTTCTATCTCCAGTAACAAATTGGTATCATTTCCAGGTTCAGTATTAAATAATGATCTTTCTTAGTTTGTTGAGCACAGAGCAAAGACAGAAAAAATTCCCGTATCACAAGCTTTTATTTGTATCAAATTACAGAGTTCCATAAGTAAATATAAGATTATGATTTGAATATTATAATATAATTTGGCAAGTTATTTAATTATCCAAAGTTTATGATATATTTGATTATACACTGAAGAGATGATTTGGCATAACTTGGCAAGGTAAGTATTTCTGTACCTTATTTGGCTGTTTATTGTGTGTCTATGTGGTACATATATGTATGAGTGTGTGTACACACACACGCACACACACATACACACACATATCCCTAAATTAAATATACTTGTATAAAAAGCTAAAGATTAATGTGTTAGGGTTAATTCCTTTAAAAATATCTATTATATTAAATTGCATCTGCATTCAAAGCAGAAATGTAAAAAAAAAAAACCTGATCAATTTGCTAAATACACATGAATTTACAAAGTAATTGAAAAAAAAGTTTCTATTGAAATGTTATATTCCTGTTTAATTGACATTTAAGTGGCACTATCACACTATGGAAATGAGCATCATTTTTGAGTTTGTTGAGAGAGAATAAAGATTCTACTGAGCATTCCTACACATTCTGAATTAAGATTGGCCATTATTACATGGGGAAGACGGCAGATCACTTTCTCTGTGTTGCGCGGGGGGTTCGCAGGGAGCAGTTGGCGGCGTCTGCACCCGGGGCCCGCGCTTCCTCAGTGGAAGTCTGGCTTCTCGGGGAAGGTGCAGCCCGTCCGCCTGATGATGACGCTGGCCGCATAGTGGCCGGCGCGGATGCACTCAGTCAGCGGCTTGTCACTGACCAGCTGAGACAGGAAACCTGAAACACAGTCAGAGGGGAAGACCGTGAGCACAGGCAACAGCATCAGAAACGTCACGGGGTCAGACCAAAAGCAGTCTCTATACCCACACCCTCCTCCGCCTGGGAGGAGGTCCTCCCCATCCATCAGGAGCTGCCCCTGAAGTTTCTCTTAGAGAGCTCAGGGTGGGACATGACCGCTCACTCTAAGCCTAAACGTTCACGCTTTCCTTTGGCTTCGAGGTAGCTGTAAGAATACCGGCCAAGGAATATTTTCTTGGGTCTTTATAGCTGAGGCGTTATTGGTTATTTATCCTCCTCCCTGCCTCTCTGGATTTCCTCTGTGCTGTTATTCCTAGCACGCTGTTTTGGACAAAATCCCATCATCTGGATGTCTCTCCGAGTACCAATTTGAGAGTGGAAAAGTTAGGAAAGACCCTACATCTCCCTCTCATCTCCAAAGTAAGAGCAAGATAATTTCTACGGTTAAGTACCAGCTGAAACAAAACAAATAGAATAAAGAAGAAAACAGTTTTGAGGACTTCTGCTTATGATCCAGATGAAATGAAAGGAACCAGAATTACCTTTCTCCAGAAAACTAAGATGAAGACAATGCACATGAAAAAAGGTTTTCAAATATTGCACGTCAGCCACAAACGACCAGGAAAGGCCATGCAGGGAGAGCCGTGACACTGCTCCAGCTCATGCCGGGGCCCCAGGCCATGACCAGGGAGAACCACCAGGCAGAGCTCACAGTCTCCCCGAATGGAGAGGATGGACGTGGGAGTCCAAAGGGGACGTAATTAAATATCTAGGCAGACTGGTCAGGACAAAAAGAGACAAGACATAAACCACCAATTTTAGGAATAAGAGAGGTGATATCACTATAGAATCGATACCTAAAAAGATAATGAGGAAAACATATTGATTTTGTAGTTAAAGTTTCCTATAAAGAAAATCCCAGGTCCAAATTGTGTCACAAATATTTAAGGAAAAAAATAATACCAATGCTATACAAATACTTTAGGAAATGGAAAAGGAGGGAACATATCTAATTCATTCCATAAGCCAGAGTTATTCTGAGAACATATTCAGAAATGATGCAAATATTCTGAAGAAAATGTTAGCAAATCCAGCCCAACAGTATATCTAAAAAGATAATAAATTATGATCAGGTGGAGTTTATCCTAGGAATGCAAGTTTGTTTAACAGTCAAAAAAATCAATCAATATAATTAACATATTAACTATGAAGGCCATAAGATCACCTTAGTGATGCAGAAAAAGCATCTGACAAAATCCAACATCCACTGCTAATAAAAACTTCCAGCAAACCAGGAATAGAAGGAAATTTTCTCGACCTGATAAAGGGCACTTAGGAAAAACTTCCAGTTAATATCATTCTTAAAGCTGATGACTCAATGCTTTCCCCTCAGGATGAAGATCAAGGCAAGGATGTTTGCTCTTAAACACTGAGCTTGAGACTCTAGCCAGTGCAAGAAAAGAAATACATAAAAGGCATCGAGACTGAAAAGGGAGTAAGACAGTCTTTACATGGCGATGGCAAGATTGTCTAGTTCTGTGGTTCTCAATAGTAGGCAGTTTTGCCCTCCAGGGAGCATGGGGCAACATTTGGAGACAATTTTGTTTATTATAACTAGGGTGGGAGTGCTACTGGCATTTAGAGGCCAGGGATGCTGCTAAACATCCTATGATGTCAGCAATGTCAAGATTGAAGGATAAAGAAGATGTGGTGCCTATACACAATGGAATGCTACTCAGCCATAAGAAAGGATGAAATACTGCCATTGGCAACAACATGGATGGACCTTGAGAATATTGTGCTAAGTGAAATGTCAGAAAAAGTGAAGAGCCGTATGTGGGATATAAAACTGAAACTTGTGAACACAAACAGCAGTGTGTGGTTGCCAGAGAAATGGGGTGGAGGGGGCAAAAGGGAGTCCGAGTGTGGTGACAGGAGAAGCTCTGACTTCAGGTGGTGGGCACACAGTGTAACACATAGATCTTATAACAGAGAAACCCACACCTGAACCTCTATGTTCATGTTGACCAATGTCAGCCCAATAAATTTAATTTAAAAACGGGAAAAGTCCTATGTAGAAAATCTTATGAAAAAAAGTTCTAGAAAAAAGTTATTAGAATTACTAAGTGAGTTTGGTCAAGTTGCAGGATACAAGATCATTATATACTAGTAAAAACCAACTGAATTTCCATGCTAGCAATGTGTGTATATACAGCAATCGTATAGGCTAGCAATGAACAATTAGAAAAAAATGATATTAAAATACTATCTATCATACCATCAAATGTGTGAAAAATCTAGGGATAAATCTAACAAAAGTGGTGTAAGACTTGCACAATGCAAATGATAAGACATGCTGAGAGAAAAAAGAAATCTAAATAATTAAAGAGATACGGAGTGCTCATAGATCAGAGAATTCAATATTGTTATCAGCTCTGCAGAAATTTTTCTATCGATTCAAAATGCCAATAAAAATTTCAGCAGGATTTTTTATAGAAACAGATAAGTTGATTATAAAATTTATGTGGAAATGCAAAGGACTTAGACTAGTTAAAATACAAATTTGAAAAAAAAGACTACTTGATTAAAAAATGTATAGAACTAAAATAATGGAGACACTATGGTATTGGCACAAAGCTAGATAAATAGATTAGTGAAACTGAACAGAGTCCAGATATGGTCAATTGATTTTTGACAAAGATATCAAAGCAATTCAATGGAGAAAGGACAATCTTTTAAACAAATGGTCTTAGATCAGCCATACTAAAGAAAACAAAAACTTCAACCCTTACCTCATATCATTTACAAAAGGTAACTTGAAATGGATTACAGATCTAAATGTAAGAACTAAAACTATAAAACTCAGAAAAAAACTGGAAAACATTTTAGTGCTTTTGAATTTGCCAAAGATCTCTTACATTAAGACATAAAAAGTACAAACTTTTATAAAAGAAAATATAATTTGGACTTCACCAAATTAAACATTTTTATACATTAGTAACAAGAAACAGCCAACAGCCCTGGAAGGGCAGCTCGGTTGGTTAGTGTCCTGAAATGCCCAGGTTATGGGTTTGATACCCGGTAAGGGCACATATAAATGTATAAATAATGGAACAACAATTTGATTTTTTTTTCTCTCTCTTCCAATAAAAATTAATAAAATAAAAAACAACCCAACAAAAAATGTGCAAAAGTATTGAATAAACTACAGAAGATAAAAAGATGTCAAATAAGCACATGAGAAGATGTTTGACATCACAGTGATTAGAAAACTGCAAATTAAAACCACATTTAGATACCAGTGCCCACCCACTAGAATGGCTAAAATGAAAAAAGACTGACCATTCCAAGTGTTGACAAGGGTGTGGGTCAACTAGAACACTAATATACTGATTATTAGAATATAACACGATAAGATACCATTTGTTAGTGTCTTAAAAAGTTAAACATACATATATCATGTGACCCGGTCATTCTATTACTGGGAATTTAACCCAAGGTAAATGAAAGCAGATAATCCACACAGATAATTGTAAATAAGCGCTACAGCTTTCTTTGTAACAGCCCCAAACTGGAAACAATCCAAATGGGAGTAAGAAGGACAGGAGGGCAAGGTCACAAAAGAGGGTGGATAGGATGACTATGTCTATAGTGACAGGTTCACAGGAGTACACATATGTCAACATTTGTGAAATGGTACACATTACACATGCGCAGTTTTCTGAATGCCAATTATTCTACCATAACACTATCCAGAAAGAAAATGAGTGTTGTCGTTACAAACAAGCCACATCGCATTAGGTCGGGCCCGGGGGAAACCTGAGCTGCTGTGGCGGTGCTCAGATCCGCAGAGCAGATGGTGATGAGAAACCGTTCCAGCCAGGCTTCCAGGATTCCCACCCAGGCCCGGCATCGGGGCGAGGGGCGGACGCAGGTTAATTGAGAAGCGGTGTACAGTGACCTGTGGAGAGCATTCTGTGAGATTTATGTCCTTCCTCCTCTGCCATTCTGACCACACAGGCTTTCTGGTTAGGTCTGGGGAATGCTCTGTATCAGATAAAATAAATACTCCCAACCAAAGGATACAATTAACCCAGTAAGCGGAGCGATGTGTTTTGAAGACATGTGCTGAGAATGTGAAGTCACCCTCTCCCGAGGTTTAGTGAGCGCATTTCGTCACTGAGCGTTCAGGTAACAGTCAAAGGTCCATGTTCACTTTCAGCCCAACTGTGAGGCTAAACGCTCAGCCCACCGCAGCGAATGGGGCAGATGCCAAATTCAGAGTCAGATCAGCTTACAATGGAAACACGTCTATTAGGAGCCTTATAAGCAACATCTGTTTTCCTCATTCCTCCTGGTATAATCCTTGTGAGAAAGAGAGACGCTCGTGTTGATGAAATATTTTTGTGAAGCATAAGCTCCAGCGTCCTCTCGCCGAGAGAGCAGCGAGCTGAGGGCTGACGTGGAGGACTCTGCAGAGGCATTTGCTTTGACGGGAGGAAACCTGGATGCAGAGAAAAGCTAAGACCTTTGTCCCAACTGAATATCAGTTTTTCAATAACCTATTTTTAAAAACAACTCAGACGAACTACAGATGTTCTATAATCAATTATAAGAGGACCTATAGCTGATGTGAAGCCAAAGTTGTGTAAAATGGTTTAAACAAAGGGAGCTTCTATGTAAAGACACATGGAGAATCTTTTATAAAATGAATCAGATATGGGGGAGGGAGGGAGGGGGGCAAAAAAAATCATTAAAATATGTAAAAATAAATAAATAAATAAATAAATAAATAAATAAATAAATAAATAAATAAAATGAATCAACATCCCCTAGATAACTTTTATTGTGTAAAATATAAATAACTTAAACATTACCATTTAAAGCGTATAAGTCATACCATTAAGCACGTTTTTCGGAGTTGTGTAACTATCACCTCTGTCCGTTCCCAGGACTTTCCTTCAGGCCGACAGAAACGC